TTAACTACTACATAAAAAGCCACGAATGTCTTGAATGTTTTAATCTACACATTCAAAGTTATCAGACACGAAGTAAATCTTTACTGCACATTCCTTACTGTCGAACCTGTTACCTACTATTCAGTCCTGTGAATAGAATATCTGCCAATGTAAATAAGTTCTGTGAGGGCCTTGAGTTCTTTGGTTTATCTCTGGATAAATTTAAGACGAAGGCCAGGAGAATTGTTTTAGGTTAGATTTTTTTTTTTTTAGATTTAAACTCTGTTCAACTTCAAATGTATTTTTCTTATACGTAAATAAATGAATAAATAAATAAATATAAATTAATTATTTATTTTAATAATAAGTTCATTCATTTTTTTTTAAATTCCATTTTAAGCTCGAACCCAAAACCTCCATTGTTAAGAGAGAAAAGACATAAGACGGTTCAAGTTCAAATAAAAGAAAAAAAAATTAAGGGACAAAACACGATCGAAAATTTTTAAGTTGTAGGTTGAATGATGGTCAATTCAAATTCCTTTCAAAGTGCTTCAAGCCCTTTTAAAGTGCTTCAAGCCCTTTTAAAGTGCTTCAAGCCCTTTCAAAGTGCTTCAAGCTCCCAAAAGTGCTTCAAGCCCTCTTAAAGGGCTTCAAGCCCTTTCAAAGGGCTTCAAGCTCCCAAAAGTGCTTCAAGCCCTCTAAAAGTAATTGAAGCTCATTGAAAGGGCTTGAATTACTTTTTTCAATTACAAATTACCAAGCACTTTTCTAAAGTAATTGACTTTGCAAGCCCCAATTACAAATCTATAAAAGGGCTTGAAGCACAGGGCTTTCAAGCCCTCAAAGTGCTTCAAGCACTTTCGCAAGCACAAAGCACTCAAGCCCTGCCCAGCTCTGATGTAAAAGTATATATTTTTTTTTTCTACAGAAACAAAATAGTTATTTGAACACTACCTCACACGCCCGAGACAGTTGGTTGCGAGTCGAACGACTGTAAAATAGTATATTGTGCAACAAGTGCTGAAAATAGCACCTTTCACACGCGTGGGGAAGTTTGGTGACACAAGCGGCAAGCGGATGGCACAAAGCCCCACGAGTGTGAAAAGTGCTTTCACATGCGTTACACACTATACTTTTTTTACTATAGGAATTCACATTGAGATTTAGTGCCGGTACTTTTGTTCTCATTTGACAGCCGTTAAAAATAATCAGGGGTTTGAATGTGCTCTCCACCACATCATACTTATAGACCTTGGCCCATGCAAAACTTTGACGACGTGTCAAACTCGTAAATCGAGAGCAAAAATATCGGCCCTTAATATATTTTTTTTTGTACGTAGGTACGCTGAATGCACTCAGAGTTGCTTGCAGAACAAAAATTCAGTGGAAGAGTCATTTTTATATTGGCGTGCAAAAAGTACTTTTCGCACGGTCGGACACTGCTCATTTTTAGGAACAAAACAACATACATTTTCGAAGTATTTTTGTAAGGTATATTTAAAAATGAGTATTAAACGTAAATCAAACAATAATATGAGAATACCAAATACCATTTCTCGCAGAAAAAATAGTACATGTATTTCGCAGGAAAAGCACATTCTCGGCCTTCGGTGTTTGCCGGTCAACTTACCCCATCGGCCGAGAATTTGTCACTTTTCTACCTGAATCCACAATACAGGGTATTCCATTTAAAACGTAACAGGCTAAATATCTGATGCCACGTTTATTTTTTTTTTAAGTCGCTCTTACACGTAATTTGATTTTTTAAGGGGGAACTTTTTTGCAACCATTTTTAGCACTTCAACTTTAACCCTCTAGGCGGGGTGGGACCAATCCTTAGTATTTTAAATGGAACAAGGGGTCGAGTGATACCTCTTCTAAAAGAACATTCAATTATTTTTCATTTGATGTCATCTGAAGAAGATTGAACGGTCTTCTAAAACAGATATCACTCGACCCCCCTGTTCCATTTGGAATGGTAAGGGTTGGTCCCGCCCCCCCCCCCTAGAGGGTTAAGTTAGTGCTGAAAATGTTTCAAACACTCACACAATCAAATTACGTGTACGAGCGATTTAAGAAAATAAATAAAAGTGGCATCAGATATTTAGCCCGTTTCGTTTTAAATGATATACCCTGTATACAATTTTTGAAGATAGTAACTATTTAATTTGCAACAAAACCGCACTTTCCTATCAGGAAATTACAATTTATTCACAAATTAATTTATCTTTTTGCGGCGCCTGGACTGCCAAAATCTGTTTAATAACTTATTTAAAATTAATAGTTTTGTTCCAACCCAGCAGGGAACCGTACCTACGTTTCATCATCAGGATTCTGCTCAAAACGTAAAAGTTGTGCGAAGAATCCGAAATTGGTATACAGAGAGTGGTTCCGAAAATCCAAAACCGTTCTTGGACGGTTTTTTGGCGGGTTGGAACAGACCTTATAACATGATTGTTGGAGTTTTTTTATATAAATATTATGGAAGAGAAAGGGCGGCTTCGCCGCCTTCTACCGCCGCTTAAAATTTTACCGCCGGGTCTTTTGGAACCCCCAGAACCCCCCTAAATCCGGCACTGTCAGAGAGAGAAAGTAAACAAACAAAAAGGATAACGAGGATCAATCATTTAGTTACTTTTGTTTTTAATGTTGACAGCCCGCTAGTAATTTTTGTTTTCTTCTTTTCGCAACTATGTTCTCGCACCGCAATATGGCGTCCAAACAAAAGGTCAATTTGTTTGGCACTGATGTGACACTGACCAATAAACACTGACAGCAAATTTCATGCAATCATTTAAGTTCTGTTTCCACCGAAATCACAAACTAGTCAGAATGAATTTCATTGGTTGGAAATAGTCAGGAAACTGGTTGTTGGCAATTTGAACCAATCAAAAACACTCTAACTGGTTTGTGATTTCTGTGGAAACAGACCTTCAAGGGTACATGAATATTTTTACTGGTAATTTGTCAAAATTGAATGTTGTCAGCACTAGTGCGCAAAATTAACTCTTGTCTGCACTAGTGCGCAAAAGTTAATTTTGGGCTCCCAACTGCGTGTGCAAAGTACCTATTTTGAAAAATCAACAGAAAAACTGCAGAATGCTGCCACTGAAGTTCAAACTGTTGAGTGAAGCTCAAGATTTATAACTTTATAATAAATTAGCTTAAAACAAAATTGCTAATTAGTCTACTGACTAGATTTTAATGTAATAAATGCAATGTGTTTGACAAAAAAAAAACTACAAATAATTCTAAAAATACATAATTTTATTAAATATTTCAGCGATAAGCTTAATGTCAATACATGACTAGGTTTTAAATAAATAAACTACATAATTTTAACAATCTTAGTCATTAGAAGCTGTCTTATCACAACAATTGTAAACAGGTCTAAATCTGTGGTAAAAAATACACTTGGGGTTATTCTTTCATCAAGCTGTAGCAATGAACCTCCTTACATTTTTTCATAATTAACTATATAAATATAATTGCAAGGCAAAATTACATTATAGGTAATTGAAAATACATATATTGGAAAGTGAAATGTATCGTTCTGCTTAAGCCAATTATTTATATTTTATTACTTACCTAATATAATATGCTAGGCGGGTAACAATAATATATTTTTTTCTCCAAACGTCAAAAAAACGTCACTTTGTTAACCCCTGTCAAGATGTCAGAAATTTAATTTCTATGCTGCTAGGTAAATCTAGCGGGTTAACACCTGTCAAGGTGGTAGAAGTTTAATTTCTATGCTGCTTGGCAACCCCAGCGACAGCAAAAGTACTTTTAGTGCCGCTCGTACTTTTACTGCCGCTCAACCATTCACTTGCCCCCGAGCTTACCCCATTAGTTTGGAGAAAAAATAGTGTGTTGCATACGGAGTAGAAGCACTTTTTTGTGCTTCAGCAGTAATGCAAGCCTCACTACGTTCGGCTCGCAAACCTACTGCTTCAGCACAAAAAAGTAAAGCTTCTACTCCTAATACAACAATATACTATTTTCTCCAAACGTCAAAAAAACGTCACTTTGTTAATGCCTATCAAGATATCAGAAATGTAATTTCTATGCTGCTAGGCAAATCCAGCGGGTTAACACCTGTCGAGGTGGTAGAAATTTAATGTCTATGCTGCTAGGCAACCGCAGCGGCAGTAGAAGTACTTTTAGTGCCGCTGGAGCGGCAGCAAAAGTACTTTTAGTGCCGCTCGTACTTTTACTGCCGCTCAACCATTCAGTTACCCCCAAGCTTACCCCATTCGTTTGGAGAAAAAATAGCGTGTTGCATACGGAGTAGAAGCACTTTTTTGTGCTTCAGCAGTATTGCAAGCCTCACTACGTTCGGCTCGCAAACCTACTGCTTCACCACAAAAAAGTAAAGCTTCTACTCCTAATACAACAATATACTATTAAAGTAAATAATTAAATTTGTATTTTTTCTGGGAACTAACCCAACTGATAGTTAAAGGATACCTATATGAGTTTCAGTCCAAGATCTGGAAAGGGTTTTATTAACAAAATTTGAGCAACGCTCACATTTTCTTCAGCATCTCTACAATTTTCGCCTTTGAACTTTTTTTTATCCTGCTGTCACCTGGGTGAGTAATAGAGCATCACTGCGTCCAGAGACTGAGTTAGATTTGAGATTACAGCGACATCCCAGGATATATGACGGGTGAAATTTATTTGTTAAATGAATTGTTATCTACATATTTTGTATGTTATTTTTCTGTGTAGACTGGGGCATCTTTGGAAGGCTATAGGGCCAACATAAGTGGCTAAACACCCCATTTCATTATGATTCAGTACACGGGAAAAAAGGGAATATCTGTAGAAAACAAGAGCCTTGCTGAAATACTGTAAAAAAACTGTCACTAGCTCTACTATAGAAAGGATAACTACTGTCAAACTGTAAGAGGAAGCTAACTAACATTTTATTTGAATAAATAAATTCTTCTAAATAATGCACCATACCTAATAATCTTTAAATTAGCACCAAAACATATATTTTTTAAAATCCTCTATCATGAACCATTACGCCACTCACTTGTATGATTCAAGTATATTTCTGGATGTTCAGCGATATAAAATACATAAATAATTGGTACAGCAAATATAACTAAAACAATACAGACAATTAAAGCAGGGAACGATATATCCCAATCAGATCCGTTGCAGCTTAATCTAGAAATAATAGGATCAGATTGAGGTAGGTGCATATATTCGGGTAAAAGACTAACATCTTCGTTTGAATCTAAAACGGTCGAGTCTTCCATTCTATCACTAGTTTTGTTACTAAAGTTACTATTAAAAATAATTTGGTTAACTACACTTTGTTGCTGTGTTAGTTTGGTTTCTAACATGTCTATGTCTATTAGTTTACTTGTCGACGGCTCAGTCATTTCTATTGGTGAAGTTGTACTACCACTATGAACTGTAGCTAAGGCTTCTGTAAATGGCCTGTGAGGAACTTTGATCGTTCTTCTAGCATAAATTTCGTTTTCTTTGTGGATGTTGTTGAGTCTCTTTAGGTCTTCTATCTATTGAAAAACATATGTTAGACCAAATAATATATATGTAGGTAAATTCGAGGGTAAATTATTCAAATGCTGGGTATTTACAAAAAATATAAAAATTCCAGTTTGTGTCCAATGAATTGTTAAGCCCAGGGTCGATCTGACGCTTTACATTGGAAACCATGAACAAATTAAGGACAAGCTGCAATTTGGTATATAAAGTTTGTATTGGGGTCTCTAATAAACCACCAAACCCCACCAGTAATCGGCCCTGCCTGTCACCCATAAACAACCCCTAAAAGTAGTGAAAATCAGACTTTTTTAGTTTTTTGACAATATCTCAAACGCAAAACGAAAAAATATGAAAGAAGAGAAATTAAAAAGCATAAAATTTCCTATAAAATCACGTTTAGTTTAGCAGTTATATTTTGCTCTACTAGTGGCCGAGTATTTTTAATAACTGGATATTTTGTATAAATACTCTCTAACCATGACCTAATAGATTTTCATATTAAATATGTATATCTAACAATCTATAGGGTGCAGGATAAGTTGGGACCTTTAAAAAATGTTCTTCTCGACATGCACGTCATTTCTGGATGTGATACGATACCACATCTGGCTGTTTAATAGAGAAAAACGGCATCGTCTGGTAAGGATTAGTCCTCGCTAAAACCGTCTGGCATTAGTAGTCTGGGAGTTAACGACATATTTCATTGTACCATTTCTGCAAGCTTCATTCTTTTTCTATGTGTTATGCATGTAGTATATGATAGTAATATGAACGTCTGCCGGCGCACCAACACGACAGGGGGTTACAGGAGGCTTACAATTACAGCATAAAATGAACGAAAAAAACTCACAGCCGCAAAAGTGAAACTAAAGGAGGCCGCAGACCTAAGGTACAAATGTTGCGCCACAAATGCCTTTACACTTTTATCGTTCAACATTTAAATAAACTCCCACAAATACGGTACGAGCACGCACACCAGGTTTAGTTGTGTTGACGCATTTGTACCATGTCGTCGTCGTCTGATGACGATGATTTTATGATGTGGCAACTATTAAGACGAAACCGAAAAAAACGTCGCTACTGGGTTCATCCCTACAATGATGGTTGCTCTACAAGAGGAAATTTTGAGATATCAAAGCAGTTAGTGAATGATGAAGAAAAATACCAATCGTATTATAGAATGTTACCTAATACCTTCAAATTACTATTGGCATTGGTTGGTCCAAGATTGCAAAAGGAGGACACGAAATTCAGGGAGTCTATTTCTGCCGAAGAACGTTTATTGATAATATTGAGGTAAGGACAAATATAAAAATATAAAAAATATTTAACCTTAACATTGCGAATTTGTATGCGAATATGATGACGCCTGTGGAGGTGCAAGATTTTGTAGGTGAGTGGTTTGCTGCAAATGCGTATTTGGATAAATGGGATATGCATCACCGGTAAGATCTTGTAGGTGAGTGGTTTGCTGCGAATGGGTATGTGAATAGGATGGCTGTGCAGGTGTAAAATCTTGTGGGTGAGTTTGCTGTTCTTTGTATCCTACATCAAATGAAGTGTAATACGATCTTGCAGTCACTTTTGGAAGGTCTTGTTGGCCAGAATCTGATTGCAATGGATATTTAATGTTTTCGATTAGCTCCAAAATGCCTTTTTGAAATGATAACTGTTGCCGTAAGGTCATTGATTCCATTTGGGGCACGAGACTTAGAAGAAACATCTCACAAGAATTTGGTTTTTCTTGTTGTGAGGAAGTAGTCACTGTTTCTGCTTTTTTCTTCTTTAAAGTAAAGTAATCTATTGCGCATTTATCTGCAGCATTAAGTCCTCTGGTATTGTATGAACTTGTTTTCACCCGTTTGCCGGTTAGTTTCCTACCAAGAGTTAGGCTTTCTGGATTGCTAAGACTGCTTATATCTGCTTGTTGATTCGTATTATCAGTCGTAGAGTGGCCTGCACGGGGAGTATCTGGAAAAGAGTATTGACTTTCGCCCAAATCATCAAAATCCACTGAGATTTGTCTATCTCTGGATTCACTGTCTGTGGAAGCAGCTTCATGAGTCCCGGTTTCTTCGTGCGATTCTTCATCCAGATTTTCGGGTTCTTTAGTAGATGGTTCAGATTGTAGATTTCCTTCTTGGGGGTAATTCTTTCTGAATGCATTCAGAAAGTGCAGGTATTTTGCTAGGTAATATGGTTTTTTTGAACCGGCACTAGATCCACTTTTACCTTTAGCACTAAGACTGCGAATGTATGACGAACGTATTCCTTTCCATTTGGTTTTGCAGCTTTCCCCTGTAAATTTAAAAATGATGCTCATAATAATTCAGGTAAAACAAAAAACAGAAATTTGAATTGACCGGCTTCAATATACTTTTTAAAAGGGATTTATAAGACTGTCATAGTATTAATGGTAATGGTGCAATTCTCAAAATTACTGTTACAATAATGTTATAATAGAAGCTATAATATATAATATTTATTTTTTTTTATCCTAGGTTCCTGGCCACTGGCTCATCATTTCGATCCATGTCGTACGTTTTTATGAGAGGTGAAACAACAATAGGCCAAATCATTGACGAAGGCTGTGACGTTATATGGCAAGTTTTGCAACCGCTTTATATGAAAAAACCAAAAACGAGTGACTGGTTAGAAATGTCTGACAAATTTCTGGAGTTGTGGAATTTACCACACTGCATTGGTGCAATAGATGGAAAGCACATTCGCATTAAGAAACCGACAAACTCCGGATCTGCATACTTCAACTATAAAGAATATTTTTCCATTAATCTCATGGCATGTGCAGATGCAAATGGCTTGTTCACAAGTATTGATGTCGGAGATTATGATAGAAACAATGATTCTGGAGTATTTAGAAATTCAAGCCTTGGACGATCACTTTCAACCAATACTCTCAATATTCCCAAGCCATCGCCATTGCCAGGAGAAGAATTAAACCGTTCATTTCCATACTATTTCGCAGCAGATGAGGGATTTCCCTTATGTGAAAACATAATTAGGCCTTATAATCAAAAAAACTTGACTAACACACGAAGAATATTCAATTATCGATTATCTCGGGGTAGGAAAATTGTAGAATGCACTTTTGGCATGCTTGTCTCAAAGTTTCGTGTGTTTGAGACCCCTCTTTCGTGTTCAGTGGCCAAAAGTATAAAAATTGTTAAAGCTGCTTGCGTTTTACATAATTTTATTAAAATACAGTAGAAAGGGCACTTAAATTTCTCTGCAGAAAATACATCGAATGAAAAAAATTCAAATCCCAGACATAATTTAAGTCAAAATCAAGGAAGGCCTAGCAACCAAGCTGTCCAGAATAGAGATTATTTGGCTAATTATTTTTTAAAACCTTATGGCTCGGTACCGTGGCAAGATAACTATACAGTTTAATAAATTTTTGTTTGGTACTTTAACTGTAATTGTAAAATTATAAATGCGTTTGAGAAAATTTAGTTTAAAAAAAAAGTTGATTAAATCTAGTTTTTCCAGGAATATAATACCCAACTGTAGAACTATAAACTTTCCTATTAAATCAATAAATTGTTGTTTTTACTTACCAGTTTCATTAAATTTTTTCCCAATTTTTGTCCAGTTCAATTCTGCTGTCCTTCTGTTACTATACTCTGCTAAATTGTGGTCAGATAATTGAGAATATTTCTCAATTTCTTGAATAAATGATATAGTTTCATCAATATCATCCTTCATTTTGAAATTTTTAAACGCCACACGTGGCAACAAATATCGAACAAGTTGGTTCTACGGCTTCGAAGCGCAAATGCTGAGAGGATTCAAATGCGTCCTGTCAACAAATGCATCTCAAGTGTGCGGATGTTAATTTAAATACACAGAAGCGTTAAATGCTGTCCGATAAATTTGTGACAACGCATTTGTGGCGCCACATTTGAACCTTAGGTCTGCGGCCTGCTTTATTGTATGTATTAGTAGAAACATAGAAAGCTCAGAAAATATGGTCTGCCACCTAAATTCCTTAACAAAAGTCGTCTGCCACCCACATAAGTAAAAAAAATTTTCTACAAACGTCACTAAAAGTGTCATTTTTAACGGATGCTGTCAGTGTCTAAAATGCCATTTTATGACACTGGTGTTAAAAGTGATTACTTTTAGCACTAGTGCTAAAAGTAACCACTTTTAGTGCGTTTGTAGAAAAAATAGTGTATAATATTCGTGCTAAAAGTGATTTTATTTTGTTCAAAGGGAATCAAACTTCCCTTTTCACAAAATAAAATGTTACTTTTAGCACTTATATCATAAATAACTATTAAAAAAATTATACCCGCAAGACTGAAATTAATTATTTTTATTGTTCGTCGATTTTAATCTGATACTCGGACGGAATGTGAGCTGGTGGCTCCCTACATTAGAACGCCAATGGTTACCTGACGTCACACCTGTTTTTCCCATATGAAACACCCCCTCGCTCCTCATACCGCAAGTTTCAGTTAAAAATCGACGAACAATACAGTGAGTTTGACAAGTGTCAAAAAGAGAAAATAAATATTTCGAGTGAAAATTTTCATTTCCATTTTGAGTTTACGCGATGAATCCTTCTATAGTCTCTTTAAGAACTTGAGAACATTAGACTTGAGCTTTTCACAATTTATTCTGGTTAGCCTTACAAAAAAATAAATAAAATAGGAATAAGAGAAAAATGCAGCGTCCTAGCGGTGGTGCTCGGGCACTGCATGCCGAACCCAACTTTATAGGCTTGGCAGACGATCTTCGTTGTATCTTATTCGTCGCAGACTGTTTGTCTTTGTTTCCATAAAAAAAAGTTTCCATAAAAAGAAGCATTTTAATTAATTTCAGCCTTGCGAGTATATTTTTTTTTAATTTTTTTTTTTGCGCTTACTTATGTGGGTGGCAGACGACGTTTGTTGTGGAATTTAGGTGGCAGACCATATTTTCTGAGCTTTTTATGTTTCTACTAATACGTACAATAAGTTTCGCTTATGCGGCTTTAAGTTCTTTT